GACTTTTATCCGGTGTAAACTCTATGTTTAAAGGGGAAAAATGGCGAAGCAAATTTAGCTAAGGACCTCTGTGCTTTTAATATGGTATAGATAGGATAAAAAATTTATAGTTACCTTAAATTTCTTATAAGAAATACGACAATTTATTATGGTACATACATTTTAGTATCTTGTCTATGTTTCACCTATCAAATTGGGTTTGTGCTTTAATATGTATATGTTTACAACAAAAATTTACAAAATATTATATTATTTATTATAACTGTGAATTATAGTTTAAAATATAGTCCTGTCAGTTCTATCTACAGATATTTGTTTTACTCATAAATATTTATAGATATTTGTAAAAAAAAAAAAAACTTTTGTAAACTTAGTGGCAGATATATACAAACTTCAATATTTTTAGATTTAAATTCTAACATATTTTAATTAGTAAATTTCAAATGTACGTGTACACTTTAAGTTGTACGGATATTTTAAGCCTTTAATTTTTTTAAGGTTATTTGTTGCAAGGTGAATTGTAAATACCCTTTGAAATATTCACATTAAAAGAGTACTAATGGATCACATTAGAATAAAAACTTAGAAGGAGTTCTATGTTCACGAGACTTTATGTGTAGTTTTCTATTTATTCTATGTCGATTAAATTGCTTTTTACTAAAATTATAAAATTATAAAAAATAATTGGTTATACAACACTACATAGAATAACCTAAAAAGAGTTCTAAGTATGCGGAACTTTAATTCCTACTTCAATTCTTTCGGCAGTTAGTTTCCTTCTACAAATATGTTGTCTTACCTATTTTAAGTAAAGAAGGATTCAAAACATAAAGTTTAGTTGATTTCTAAGTACTAAATATTAGTGAAATAATTAAATAATTATTCATAAATAATAGGGAATAGTTAATTACTATTTTGTCTAGTGTGAAATATATTTTTAAAGGGTAAAAAAGACGAACAACATTTCGCTAATGGCCTTCGTGCTTTTAATATAGTATAGATAATATCATATGGTATGTATTCTATAATCTTTTTAAGTTAAAAAAGTTCAGGTTAGTAACTCAGCTGTACACAAACTATGATAGTATTTCTAATTATTTAGCAACCATATAGTTTTGGAGGTAAAATGCTCCCTACCACAAGCCCCCGTTTTAGCTTCCTACCAAAGGCAACTTATTCCTTGCATTACTAATGTCACCATATGGACAAGAAATAAAAGTATACTACAAAGTTTAGATATATAGAATCTATCGCAAAGACTTCAAAACCAAGTAGCTTTTCATGAATACGACTCTCCAACATTTATTTTAATAAATAGGCATACATAAAACTGCAAAGTCATAATTCGCAAGAATCGCAATATTGATGGATGATCATTGTTGGATCTAAAGCTATGCATAATGTTTCTAATAACTCTACAGGTGGAGATAATATGAAACGTCTTTTGATATGTGAAGCACTGTCCTTAACTTTCTCAGGAAAGGCTAAATAACAAATATGTTGTGTCAACGCAGTTTCATTATTGTTGAAAATCCAAACTTGTTTTAAAGCTTCATAGAATTCTGAAACTGGCCATCTACCTGTTACCTCATAACCATGGATTTGAATATGGAAATCCTCGTTGCATTCATGGATAACCCTAAAACTTTCTTCATACACTTGCTTTGACATTGGAGTAAACGAAAGGTTTACGCAATTTTCTGTGTTTACCAAAAAACTTTCGTCTATCTGTTTGTCTATCCATGCAATAGTCGGTGAGACGAATATAGAGAGGACAATTATGATGGTGATGAGAGTGAATCTTTGAGCTTCCATTTTCTCAGTTTCACAATACGAAAAATTTAACTAAAAGAAAAAAAATCGTATAATACCACTATGAAAGAATATGGTAGGGTGAATGAGATTCCTTTGCCTTTAGTCAAACAGAAATTCCTAATTGGGAACGGCGGATGTGTTAATATTATTGTTTTTAGTCAGATTTTATAACACTTTGCGTAATTCAAGGTAAAGTTGGACTAGGATTCTTCTTTACCAATTTTGATACAATAACTCGTTGTACTAAATAGTATATATATTACGTATCCGTTGCAAATTCCTTCAAAAATATATAATACCCTTTTTTAAAAAGGTTCTTCTATTTCACAATTGATAACGCACGCATGAACCTGTATATAGGAATGTTCATAGTTCGGTTTGGATCGATTTTTTCCTAAAAAGAAACTAAATCAAATAAGTCGGTTTTTCAAATATTGAAAACAAACCATACCAATTAAGCCAGTTTTTTATCGATTCATTTTTGTGGGTTTTCGATTTTTCAGTTATTTATCGATTTTTTTCTTAAATATGAGACATACGCTACCCAAATGCATATTCCGGTGATTACATTTTCAATGTAACACTATCAAATCAATTTCTCTTTGACAAGTCTATCATTTATCAAGATATATTACAACAACAACAACAACGGCCCAGTATAATCTCACAAGTAAGGTCTGGGGAGGGTAATATATACTCAGACCTTACCACTACCCCGAGAGGCAGAGAGGATGTCTACCAATATATATTAATGATAATTAAATCAAATAGTGGTGAATAATTTAACTACTCAATTAAAAATCGATTATTTTTAACATGAAATAAGTTCTTGTACTTAGCAAAAGAAAACTACCAATCAAACCAGAATGTAAAGGCAAATAATTAGATTATTATTATAATAGCAAAGAACTAGACTAAAAATATAAATGACTAATATGTACTATAAAATTTTAGAAACTTTATATATATATATATATATATATATATATATATATATATATATATATATATATATATATATATATATGTGTGTGTGTGTGTGTGTGTGTGTGTGTGTGTGTGTAATAATAAATTTTAAATAACTACTTTTATAGTCGATTTGGTTCGGATTTTTTCGATTATTTTTTTATTAAAACCAAAACTAAATCAAATTTGATCGATTTTTAGAATTCAAAACCAAAACCAATCAAACCTAAAAAGTATCAGGTTTTTTGGTCGATTTAGTTCGAGTTCGTCTTGATTCGGTTTTCAGATTTTTGTGAACAACCCCACCTGTGTGTAAAATATACACTACTAATCTCAGAGGGTGAATTACATTAAACATCCATGTAATATGATACAGTACTTCTTGTATTTTAAGATCAAATATTTAATTAAGCCTATTGATAATGAAATTTTAACAGATCAAGATAAATCATATATTCAAGATTATTTTTGAAATATTAGGAGTCTATTAGGGTTATTTGGTGGCTACTCCACCCAAACCCTGATCCATGCCTATAAATAAGGCTAAATATGTTCTTCAAAGACAATCTCAGCAATTCCATAAACTATCGGAATATGCACAAAGAGATCAAATATGAGATCTTCGAAATTCCATGCAACTCTTGAAATATTCATTAAGAGATCAAAGACGACATGTCAAATATGTCTTGCTAAAAGTCCTACGTTAGAGAAATACGCCGCTAAGGCCCTCAAATCACGTAGAATAAATCGGAGGGAAGAATCAAGGGATAAACAGAGTTATAACGTACAATGTTTATCAATAAAATCCTTTTTTCGTTATAGTTTGTGATTGCAATTCTCTTTTTCTGCCCAAATTTATTGCAACAAAGCCCCAAGTGGAGTTTCTGTAATTTAGTCTTATTGTTGGCAGTACAATTAAAGCGACTCATTCTACCGCAGTTGATATAAAGGCAGTCTGGTGTATTAAGTTTTTGCTATCCGCAGGATTCGGGAAAGGACTAGACCACAAGGTTTAGTGTTATAGTCTTACCCTATATTCCTGCAAGAGGTTGTTTTCACAGCTCAAACCTATGACTAAACAACAATTTTACCAGTTACGCCGACACTCCCTTCAAAACATTTTCAACCTGCGGGTGGTTACATCACAAGTAATTCATGACATTTGGAGTCCACTTGCTGCAGAACAAGCTTTCTTTTTGGACCTGAAAATTGATTAAATTAACCGGTAGAACAAATGATATATAAAAAGTGTAAAAAAAAAATCAGGTTACATAATTTAATGCGGGATTAGAAAAAGTAGGGTGTCTAAATCGATAAATTATTAATAATAATTTACGTACGTGTTATAAACTCATAAAAAAAAAAAATCAAACTCGTACACAAGGGATCAGGCTCTCTCCAAGAATGTAAAATGTTGAAAATATACGTAATTTAAGAAATGAAAAGAACTCAAAGTATCACTGTAGAAATTTTAGATGATCACTTCATGTATTCATAGGAAAGAGAAAATAATTTTTCCACTTGATTTACTAAGTTGGCGTTAGGAACCTAAGAATTGTAAAATTCCGGAAAAAAAATCAAGTAAAAATGATATTTGAAACTAGAGTTGTATTTGGACACGAATACAATTTGAAGCTGTTTTTGATTGATTTGAAGTGAAAATTTTGAAAAACAGTTTTTTGGAGTTTTTAAAATTTTCGAAAAATTCCGAAATGCAACTTCAAGTAAACCTTGAAATTTTTAAGACCAAACACTGATATATTCGAAAAATAATTTTTTTTTTATAGCTAAAAGGGCCCTTTGTGCTCTCTCGATATATTCTTTTTTTCTTCAATATTTTATAATCATGTATACTTCATCAACTTCTTATGAACTATATATGCACTCGCAAAATGTGTGTTCTGACAAGATTAAGAACTCAAACCTTATGTACCTAAGTTGTTGAATGAGTAGTTAACTCACAGAAAAAGAAGCGTCTAATTAGATCAGAAACTAAGAATGCATCTATAAGAAGAAACTATTCATATGACTCCATACACCCCATTTCTCTTAAGTACTTGTCTCTAGTTTCAAAAGGAAAGGCAAAAAAAATAACCAACAGCTAGCTCTCCTGTTAATTTCTGAAAATGATGGAATTGCTTCTTGTAATATTAGTATTGTTACAAAATTTTGTAACCGCACCAAGTTCCCCATACCATCATGAGAGACTAGTCATAAAAATGATTCACTATGAAGCAGTGAACTCGCCTTTCTACAATCCAGAACTCACACTTGAAGATCGTGTGAGAATAATGAATGAGAGATCAGAGACTCGCATTTCACATCTTATAACTGATCTGGAAAAAGATGGCAATAAATTTCAGATTTACCCAGCATATACCTCTCAGTTTCTTGTTCCATTAAAGATTGGTACCCCCCCCCCCCCCCCCCCCCGTACCACAAATTCTTACCATGGACACCGCTTTGGGTTCATTGTGGCTTTACTATTGGTGGTGAAGAATCACCAGCTCCATTATACCGCTATGCAGAATCTTCATCATATGTTGAAGATGTGTATTGTGGGACATCTGTTTGTGATCTTATGATTCTTAAAGGCAAATGTGGTGTCTCGACGAGGAGATGTGAGTATACTTATTCTTATGCAACAGGTAGGACTAGGGGACATCTTGCGTCTGAAGTTGTGGCATTTGAGTTAAGCAATGGAACAGAAGTGATTTTCAAGCGTCTTATTTTTGGATGTTCATCAATATTTTCTCAAGGTGCAGATAAGGTTAGTGGAGTTCTTGGGCTTGGACAACGAGCTGGTTCTTTGTTTCTCAACAAAATTATTCAGGATGTATTGGTAATATAACTGATATAGAATATGATTCAAACGCATTAATTTTGGGAGGTAAGCCTATAATTGAAGGAGTGTCCACTCCCATGTTTATGGTTATAGGCAAATACTACATAACTTTAGAAAAGATCAGTGTAGGGGACAAGTTTCTTGACATTGATCCAATCATATTCAAGAGGATCGATCACCAAGGTGGAATGATTGTTGATAGTGGGGCCACTTCGAGCTATTTGCCTGAGATAGCTTACAAGAAACTGAAGGAAGAAATTAAATCTGTGATTGGTACGACGTTAGAAGAATTTATAAGCAACAGGCCAAACGAGCTTTGTTACTATGGAATTGTCACTCGGGATCTTAAAGGACTTCCAACTTAGCAAATCATTTTTCTGAAAATGCTAAAATGGAGTTTAGTGCTGACAATTTATTTCGACAAGATCGCGTTGATCATTTCTGCTTGTCTATACAAATTTCTGAAAGTAAGAAGATGCCTTTAGCATACTTGGAGTTTGGGCACAACAATATTTCTATGTCAGCTTTGACTTTAACACAACGAGGATGTCATTCACTAGGATAGATTGTGACCGTCTGTTTGATTGATCATTACGATGTGATTTTCTTTGATGTTTCTACTTAAGTGATATAAGTCTTAATATTCTCAACATCTTTGCCTTCTATAGTGTTTTAAACATGTTCAGTTGCTCAGATATATATATATATATATATATATATATTTAACTTTTCAACTTAGCATGAGAAACAAAAGCACATACTCGAATTCCAACTACAACACTTAATAATAAGAACCTACCCAAGAAAATATTAGTCAACAACATCAAGAGATTTTTTAGGTCCATTAATCGTCTCAAGAGTATTGGAATTTGAAAATTATTTTAGATCAGAAGGACAGGCTGATCAAAAGGACCATATTTTGTATATTATACACACCATTATCTGTCCTTACACTTCAGCAGATTAACCAACTTCTACTGCTTGATATCTTTAACTTGTATTTATTTAGCAATGGTTCAAATGCTAAAGTGCTCATTCTCCATATGTGTAATACATAAAAGTTTCAGTAGAAAAAGTGGGTTTCAGATCCAATCATCCCAAAGAGGTCTACTGTTGAAAATGTGGGGGGACAATTCTAATCTAAATTAAGATCAAATAAAACGCACTTATAGGAGATGGCATTCTTGGTTTTAACTTACAAACAGTAATTTTGGGTATCGTTAATATGCTATTATGCTGGAAGAACAATACAAACTCCTGCATATAAGCTTGATACAACACTAAACAGCAAGTGAAATAAGCAAATCAGTCTAGATAAAAAAGGCAAGCCGGTACACTAAATTACCCGCTATGTAGTGGCGGAGCCACCTTAGTACGTCAATTAACACTCCTTCGCTAGAAGTTTGCACAATGTAGATAGGTAAATATAGTATATGTTGGATCCTGTTGGCTTCTTTGTATGTTTACGACATTATATTTTTAATCCTCTTGGTGAAAATCTTGGTTCCGTCACAGCCGCTATGTGTGGAATGGGAGAAAGACAAGAGCATATTAGGTCTATTGTAGGCAATCCTACCTTGCATTCTAAAAGATCTAAGTTCAGAAAACTTTCTGCATTATCATACGTCTCTATAGAGTGCACGAGATCAGTGCGAGACAAAGAAAAAGGTAAAGAATAGTAGTAGGACATCTTCCTCTGTACATGAGATGGTTAACGACTGCAATAGAAGACGTGAGATTTAGAACAATGTTACTTAATGATGGTCAAAGGATACAAGTGGTTTTTTCTCCTGCGCCATTATGTAGCAGTAAAAGAACATGAGCTGTGCTTAGCACATTCAGATCCACAAAGATACTGTGGATCCTCAACCAGCTGCAGGAACAGAAATAAATCCTTTTCCCTAGTAAAAACCTGTCCACTTGTCAATTGTCATTGATGAATCAAATTTCAACAGTAACATACATCTTGAAAGGAAAAAACACCAGACAGTAGAGCACTAAAAAGCTAACACTGAGGGATTTGTACAAATGAATTTTCCTGAGAACAGTGAAGTGCAAGCAAAACTCAATAAACATGGAGGAAAATCGAAGAGATACATTTACCACATTGAAATACACCACCCTCTACAGAAACTTCATTCTTGGGGTTGCAAATAGAGCTTGTTGCGAGAGAAAAAGATTTTAACCAAACCTTTTGCCCATCTGAGAACTTGGATGAGCCTATCTGTCAGATTAATTGGGTTTTCCCTCTAGAAGAATCTCCTGTTGTGACACAATAAACTGATCTCCAACCCCTATTATGTATATAATATAACCTGTCACAACATCTATAAACTGATCTCCAACCCCTATTATGAATATAATATAACTTGTCAAATCTTTTGTAGTCGAAACATATATCCATATATACCTATTTCCCCCATTTGGTTCCGTCTTCATAATAGCAACATATGAAACCCATGGTCTCAGCAAGTGATGAAGAGTTCAGTAGGTGATAAATAAAGCATCCGTACCCCGGTTGACCTCTCAGAAATTTCATAAAAAGAGCTTTCTAGAGATCCCCAAGCTCACACTGTACAGCAAGAGAACTTGCTGGCTTTCTCAGGCAACATTTTTCTCGCAACTCATGCAGCAGCCTTCCTTGGCTCTCCAAATTCAGCTACACCTTATTGAATCTGCGCAAGGCATCTAAACCCTCACCTTGAATTCATCATATATCTCTTCACCCCTCTTTTGTCCCTAATAATCAGGTCACTTTGTTTTTCAATGGATCACACTTTTGCCCAAATTATGCCTCAAGATTTCTAGGCTCTATGTGATGCTTTTTACAGAAGAGAACCCATAGTCTTGCAAAGCTAGCGGCTGCGCAAGAGCTTCAAATGTCACTTGAGAACCTCGATCTGATATATCAACATTTCACCTTTTCAACAGGATAATCTACAGCAAGAATGGAAAGGATTGTGTTTGCAGTTAAAGGGATGGTTCCTTCTCTGGATCAGCAGTTGATCACAGGGCACAACTTTGGCAACTGATCAACAGAAGCCAAGATATATCACACAAAAAGGTTTATTTCTTTTTGTTACAAAGTCTGAACGATGCAGATCTATCATTGCCTCTCCCAAATTCATAGTGCCACAAGCCGTTGCCACAGCAATACCTTCCTTTAGTTTCCAAATGCCATCTAGCATGATCAAAATCATGAGTTTGATTCATGAAAGACTGCAAAGGTGAAAATTCATCTTCACTCACCCCTCTTCCACCCCTTGAAAGAAAATAAAAGGAAACTGCATACAATTTCCATTGTCAAATTACCTGTTAGATTTTCTTTTTTGGTTTTTTGGTAAGTCAAACATTCCATTACTATACACCAAGTTGGTGTCAGAAGTATATATGACTCAAACCAATTGATCCACTGGAATCTCTCTAATATTCCAGCTATCTATACAATTTAATATTTAGAAAAATTTGCACTGTCATATTCCATGTAGATTTTTAATTTTTGGATTAAGTCAAACATTTCATTACTATATACCAAGTTGTTGTCAGAGTATATACAAATTTGTTTGTATGACCAGTGTTATCAAAGGCGAAAAGCACGGAAAAGCTCTAAGGTCCGTTGGGGCTTTAAGAGCAAAGTGCAAATAAAGCGTGGGCTTTAGTGAAAAAAGGCGCAATGGGAGAAAAAGTAAAAATATGCATGTAGTCCAAGACTAATCATTATAAGCATGAATAACAATTATATGGACAGAGAAATTGAAAAAAAATCACGATAAAGTTAAATATCAATTGTTTAAGGTCGTCTTTTCAGGATTACACTCATTGGCAAGGAAGAGTATGCTTTAGAGCTTTGATGCGACACTAAAGCGCCCACAAAGCGAGGCGAAGTGCTCAACGTGTTTTGAGCCTCGCTCCAGGGCTTAAGCGCGCCTTTGACAACACTGTGTATGGCTCAATCCGAGTCATCCACTGGCATCTCACAAATATGACAGCTACCTATACTACAAGTATCCTTGCTTTGCACCGAAAACATTGTCGCGTAGAATTGACTGTTTGTACATTTTCTTATTGCTGCATAATAGCTAAAGCATGCAGATAATGCATACCTGCCATATATTCTCACTTACTACTATCCAATATCATTAAAATATAAATGCTCTTTCATTCTGTTTGTTAGCAAAATCTAACAAAAATCATAAAGTTCGAGAAGTAGGATATGCATAAAAAGAGTCTTTCACGAATTGAGTGGAATTGATACAATTCCGAAACCCCAACTATCAACAACAAGAACCATAAAGGTTTTCAGAACCTTTCAGAATCATCTCAAATAAGACATCTTTAGAATTTGATGTGAGTTCAGTACACACAAGATCAAGCAGGATATAAGATATTGAGACCATGAGACAAATTGCAAGAAAAAAGTTAGTTCGGATATACCTGGATACAGATGATCGCAGCTAATCTAGTCTTAGCATAGGGTGTATTGCAAGTAACCCTCCCTGATCCATCACTGTCACTGTTTTTTGAATCAGATGATAGTGTTAGAGATTTATCATCCTCTAACTGCAAATTTTTCAGATTTTTATTTTGTAAGTGTGGAGGCCTATATCGGCTCACTTGAGATTTTGTTGATTCTGCCAAATCTGGCTTCATGCTAACAGAAGTAATCTGCTTCTTATCAGCAATGGTAAACATATCGTGTGATTAATTAGTAAGGCCATACTGAATAAAATTCTTCAAAGCCACAATAAGACATGCCACATGGCCAGACAACAATCCCTTAAAGAATGATATAAGCAACATCCTTAAAATTTCCCAAAGACAAAAATAAGCAAGATAGTCCTCCTTCCTTTAATCTGTGTTTCTTCTTCTTCCTAAATCATGTAACATTTTTGGTTCTTCACATTCTTCTTTTGCAAATATATGAGCAAAATTTAATATTGGCACAATCACCATCCTCAAAATGTCAGCCACCAGAATAGCTAACTCTTAGCTGATGCAATTTTCCCTTTCCCAAAAAAATACACATTCTACACTGGGCTCAGTGATTAGACAAAAACTAATCCAAGTTATTCCAAGGTTTAGGCAAAAATACGTAAGTGCACATGCTTATAACTGGACAGACTACAGAGCTAACAATACTTTTGTAACAGTGAACCAAGAACAGAGAAAACAATAAGTCTCTTTTTCAATTCACATGACGTCAAACCAGCATGTATGACTAATCAACCTAGATAATTATTATGTGTCTTACAGGATTTCTAAGCAAACTGCAAGGCCAATTATAATTTGCACCTAACTTCCATCGGGGTGGGGGGTAAGGTTTGCATACACACTATCCTCCCTAGACCCCACTTGTGGGATTTTA